CAGTCTGTCCTACATTCTGTCAGGAGCCTGACCTTAGCAGGGCAGGACTGATGGGAGTTCAGTGTTATGGAGCTAGTAGATCTCCCATGAGGAGGAGATGCCAGTCAGGCTTGGTGAAAGGTGTGGGGGGACTGGCCCCTGACAACAGTCTGGATTCTGTATATACCTCAGCAGGGTGTATATGCAGAATGGCTCAAGCCCCAAAGTCACACAACTCAATCACAGACACCCTGGCCCAGACAGCTGACTCCTCAGCAAGGCAAGAGCTCTGCAGGGGGTGGGGGAGAGAGGTGGTGGTGACAGGGAGTCCAGAGGGTGGGGTATGCCCCTGGGCTGATGGTGTCTGCTGTGTGGAAGAGTGACTCAATACAGGTGTCCTGGAGAGTATCCCTTCAGCTGTCACCCCATAGCCACAAACCCCAGTCTCTCCCTACTCTCCGTTCACCAGAGCCCAGGGTGGGTGGCTCTGAATTTTGTGCATTGGCCCTTTAAGTGGGCACCTATGTCTCTAGCAGACTCCCACCTGTTCCTGGTGGACAGAATCCCTGCTGATTTTCACAGCCAGATGTTATGTGAGTGCCTCTTCCTGGCACTCCGGGCTGGGAAGCGGGGCTTGAAGTTGAGACCCCTCACTCCTCAGGGGAGAACCCTCCACACATTGCACAGCTGAGACAGCCCTCTAAACCTCAGCTGTTGCCTGTGGGAGTGGGGCCAGACTTTTCCCCTCTCTCTGCCCTTCCTACCAGTCTCAATGCAGCTTCTTCTGTAAATCCTTGGTTATAAGACTTCTCTTCAGCTAGTCTTCAGTTGGTTATTCAGACTGCCTTCTCTACATTTTAGCTGTAACTCCAGTTTAGTCCTCGGAAGAGGTGAGTGTAACTTCCATTTACTCCACTGCCATCTTGGATCCCTTCTTTCTAAAGACTTCTAATTCATAACAGAAACATGAACATAGGCCCATGATAACCTATGCCAAAGACTTCACTTTTTTACATAAAATAATAAATTTACTGTGTGTTTGCAGATACATGCTACCATGGATTGAATGTATGATCTCTATATTCATAGACTGAAGCCATAAGCCCACATTTTGATGGTACCTGGAGGTGTGGCCATAGGGAGGTAAGTGGGATTAGATTATATCATGAGTGTGAAACTCTTATGATGGATTTGGTGTCCTTACAAAAAGAGGAAGACAGCAGAGCTCTGTCATTCTCCCTGCATGCACCCAGGAGAGACCAAGTAAAAACCCAGGGAGAATAAAGCTTTTACCAGAAACTGACAAGGTAGGAGAAGGCACCCAGTTCCCTTTCCTTTTCTACCTTCCTCTCCTTGAAAACAAGAGGGGAAAAGTCTCCTGTGCATCACCTCACTTTCCCTTCCCCACCTACCTCTCATCCTTTGAAAGAAGTGGGAGAATTCTGCCCACCACATACCTCCCTTTATTTTTTCTACCAACATCTTGTCCTTCAAAAGTGAGAACTCTCACCAGCACCAACCTTCCTTTTCTTTTCCTACCTACTTCTCATCCTTAAAAAAAAGTAAGGAGATGCCTCTATATCACCCATATCCATTCCTTATCTACCTCTTGTCCTTGAAAACAAGTGAGGAGATGTCTCCCCACCTCCCTAGGTACTCTCATCTTTGGGAAGAAATGTGGAGGAGGACACCCCTCTCCTCCCTGTTTCCCACCCATCTGTACTGGGCTTGCTATCTCTGAAGAGGGGCTCACCGTATGTAACACATTTGCCATATTCTAGAGCAGTGTTTCTTAGTCTTTTTTAACCCATGCCCTGTCACTCACCCAACTGATAAACATAAAAATTCTACACTCTGCTTAATATTAAAAATAAAGTAACTTGACTAAAAGGAAACTGTGACAGTGAGACAAACAACCATACATGTATAGTTTATTGATCATACTGTCACCATGTCCCACTCCCCCTTCCTTAGTGACCACCTGAAATCTCATCTTACCTATCCTGGCTTAGCAACTTGAGGCAGAGTGGGGCAGACTCCCATTGCCACCAAAGCTCACAAGACTGATGCAGACCACCAGGAGGCTGACCCATTTTTTTTTTTTTTTTTTACAACAACCGATTTTAACATCATATAGGCCAGGGGACTTGTACTGATATCACCAGTGCATGTTCTCCTTGACCTGCACCAGAAATTCAACCAAAAAAGAAGGTTGCTGGTGAGAACATGGAATCAGGAGATGAAGCATAAGATGAATCACATTTCCGAAGGCCTGAGCCTTGACTAGCCTGATGCAGCCAATTCCTCAGTGGGGTGATCTTGCCAATAAAGACACAAACTGTTGGCGATGGTTCCCTGCATCCTTCTCCATAATAGAAATGTCCTTCCAATACAACCGCTACACTATCTTATGTTTTGGCCAAGGTTCCTCTCTCCTCTGGATAGTGTTTGGACGGCTGCTGCCAAAATTTGCCTCTGTGACTCTTTTTTCTATACTCTTTAGGTAACCATTTCTGTCTTTAGATGTTTTAATACACTCAGTCAGGCTTTCAGGGAATCTTACAACACTGAAACCCAGGTTATCACTTACGAGCACTTTCTATACCTCTGTGCAGTATCATGGTTCATTTTAAAATTAAGCTCTCAGAGGGCAACCTTTCTCCAAATTCTTGGAGGATGACTTGCTGTGTCACTCATGGCAGTTTATTTTTCTGTGTACATACATAGTCACCTACACACATTCACACACATTTGTATGCTCTTTTTATTTATTAGAATTTAATCCTTTACTCAAAGTCATCCCACAGGGCCAGATCGTTTTTCCTTAGTTTTTAACTGAACTGCAGAATCATAGAGGTATAAAGGCATAAGATTTAAAAAAGATGGAAACCATGTGAAAATATTGCCCGCTCCTGAAGTAGTTAACCTACCATGGAAGGGATCAAAATGTCAGCTCTGTCTGACAAAACATGCACTCCCATCAAGGGAATTATTTATATCTTAGATATATAAATTAACAGAGAAGCCTGACTTAGAAAAAGAACTTGAAAACCATTTTAGACTTGTCTGATTTGCTCACCCTGTAACGTAGAGGGGAAAGTATGGGTTATACTCCCTTGAGAAGCTCAATAACACTCAGCAGAGAAAAGACTTTCTAGACAGTTGCTGAAGGAAGTGCTGGTTGTGTGTCAAAGGGGACTACAGCCACTGCCTCCCCCATCCCCCTGGCTCTTGTATCAAATAAAGCTGTTGTTGTCATGTCCTGCTACAGGGAAGTATTCATTACTGAATGAAAACTAGCTTCCATGAAGCCATTTTCACTCAAAGGGTGGAATTACATTTTCCCACAATATTTTTTATCCCTCAAATGCTTTTACACCATAAAAGGCTTTTAAAACCATTTTGTCTGGGAAACTGAGATGACCTTCAATATCATTTATCTCTTGGTAGCACCTAATAGAAATCTATAGGGACCCCATTCTCCAACAGAAGTAACAACAGAATCCAGGAATAAGCATCTGCAGACAACAATAGGAATTTTGTTTGCTTTCAAAGCAGCTCAGTCACTACTGGCTCTTGAAGCAGTGTGGTCTCCTGACAATGCCAGCCCTGCAGGGGAGGAATGTGACAGTCCCTTTTGGGTGGCTGCACTTGGTTCCCAGCTCTCACACCTTACAACAGGTAGTTTGCCAATGTACTTAGATACTAATAAAGAGAGTTCATGTCATACCAGAAAAGTTTCTTCACACCTGAAGTCACCATAAAAATGGAAAAAGTTTCCCTTAAATGATTTCAATCTCAGCCAGAGGATTAAAATATAACACCCATTATTACTAGCTGTCTCCTTTGAATTATTACAGAAGTCACTCCACTCTGTGGCAACTCCACCACTCAGCCGGACTGGGCCTCGCCCCAGCCTCTTCCACGAAAACTGAGTCTTCTTAACCTGGCCTTTTATTGTCTTCATTCCTTGCAGGAAAAAAAAAATTTACTTCTCTTTCCTCCATCCTTTATTACAGTCAACTTCCTAACTTTTATGTGGATCTTGCCATTCTGTACACTTTGGCTTACCTTGTTCATTTAGTCACAGCAATGCTCTGTGGGTTCCAATAATCTATCACCATCACTGGAACCAAATGTGTATTGAACAGGTATGTTGTGCAGGGTGCTGGTTATCCAGTTTGATTTAACAGAAACTGATGTGGGAAAAGTCTTTACCAAGAAAATATAAATTTTGATATTTAGAAATTTAGAATATTTTTGGTATCTTCTTTTAGAAATCTATTGAACCTTCAAGTATCACCAGAAAGATGTTCTTGATAAAACAATGGAGAAACACACATAAAAATGACTATTGCCCTTTTATTAATACCAGCATATTATAGAAAGAAATGGAGACAGCCTAGTTGGAAACCACTAGGAAGTGGCTTCAATATTTAAACCCATTGCAAATATTTGCTTATTGCTATTTTATAGCACTCAAGAAGCAGAAAACCAGGACTGACTTATTTTCTGAGGTTGTCACTTTCACTGCATCAATGATGACATACATTGTCACCTCAACCTGTAATGAGTCACATGTTTTTATGTGGTATGCTTCTATACCTCCTAACCACATTCCTGTGAACTTTAAGTATACTGAGAAACATACAGTTACTATTGGCTCTTCTCTTACTGCCTTTGATTTGGGGTATTTGTTACAGCATCCACACTGGTCACTAAACACTCACACACTTTCTTAGAATCAGGGATGAGAGTTGGATTCCCATCTCCTTTACTGCTATCAGCTCACAGTTTGTCGGTGGAGGGTGGGAAGGCAGGAGGGGAGATACACTAGGGAATAAGCTGAATCTCCAGTGCTAAGATTCAGACTACAAATATTTCTAATTATGGTCCCACTTGTTTTCTAGTATTTCTGGGAGCCATGAAGTACAGACATTTCAGTTAAATGGAAAATAATCAAAAAAGGAAATCAGAGGCAATGCTCTTACCTCTTCTACCACAGGACAACGTGATCTTACCTGGCTGGTAGAAGTCAGGCGACAGCTCCCTGGCCACTGCTCTTGCGATGTCACTCTCCTGGCGGGCAGCCAGCGCGGCCTGGTCCGCAGCGTCAGCTTTGGCTCTGGCGTGTGCAGTCCTGCAGGGAGCACAAAGGACCAGTCATCAGGGTGGCACCTTGCTAATTACATGCTGACAAGCAAACTGGCTGCAACCGAACAGAAATGCTAATTGTGATCTGGCCCTGCACCTGCACCAGAAAGTCTTACAAGTCCTCTTACTGTGACTTTTCAATGAAGACAACAAGCACGAAACTACCAATAAAATGCCTGAATCCTTCTTTCAAGAGATAAGAAGGATAAGCAAGTTCTGTACACCTTGATGAAAAACTCACTGGTTACAATCTCCCATTGACTTTGGTGGCCATTCTTCTCCTAAACCATGGAGAGTAGAATTAGAGCATAGAAGTCAACACAGTGTTTCTAGATTTAATCCCTATGGTGGAATTTGACTAAAATGGGTCTGTCCAGTGTTACACTGGTAAAGTTGCTATCTGGTGGGGCAGGGGTGTAAATTCTGATATATTGCACTGACAATTTCCATGGTGTAAATACTCCATGGCCAATTTCGGGCTACCAGAGTCATGGCACTGAGTGTGTAGTTGGAAAAGATGCATGCAATTGGCTCTCACCAGCCTGCAGGAACAGAGCTCTGGGCTTGTTCTAAGAATGTGCTCAGATGGGTTTGAAGGAGTTCATTTATTTGCTCTTTAAGCACGTTTCTTGGGTAAAACAAAAAGGAAACAAGTGGAGAGATGAGGAGGAAATGGACTTTCCAGTCTTCTGCCCTCTTCTAGGCACACCTTCTCTCACTGAGACCTCTTATAGTTCTAGAGGACTGCTGCGAGGGAGAAGGCAGTAGGGAGAACAATGAACTTCTATGGCAACAAGAGGGAACCGATTTCTCCCTGCTTGAGAAGAGGGGATTTGGAGGGGGTGACTGAGAACTTCAGGCTACCCACTTCTAAAGGAGAAGGCTTTGTCTAGTTAGTACATAGATGATGATCATGAGCACCTATTTCTTATAACTTTGTAAGCTCTCTATTCTATTTCATGAGCACAAGGCAGGGGTATAGATAACTATAAGTAACAACTTAAGCCTTAAAGTGCTTAGACTTATTGCAGAGAGAGGAGTTGGGAAATGGCACTGTGCCCTTGCTGGTCTTAGGAGAGAAAACACAGATGGCAGCTGGAGGAGGCTAGCAGACGGAGTTCCGTGAAGAAGAAACAGGAGGGTAAGGTCTGACCTGAGACCATGTGCTAACTGGTAGGAGGCCCCATTCTCCAGTTACTTTCTCCAGCTGTGCCCTCTCATCCTGTGCTCTCATGGGGCTGTTTCACTCCTAGTTACGACCTACCCTGGAGCCTTGATGTACTAGACATAAGCTTCATGAAGACTGGGATTTTAAAGTTCTGGTCCTTGGCTATATGCCCAACGTATAGAACACTGCCTAGCACATAGTATTTATTGAGGGCTCACTTTATAAATAAAGGAATGAAATAGTTATGTAGTTACTTACACATGAATGGACTGACAAAACGATACAGAGAGTATAAAGATCAGTGGTTGCCAAGGGTCCAAGGTGAAAGGTGAGGGGTAACAGGTGGATCATGGGCTTTTTTAGGGCAGTGCAACTATTCTCTGTGACACTTGTAATAAGGGATACATGAGATTATGAATTGTCAAAGCCCACTGAACTATACAGAGTGAACCCTAATGTAAACCATGGACTTTAGTCATACTAATGTATCAGTACTGGTTCGTCAATTGTACCAAATGTACCCACTAATGCAAGATGTTAATAATAGGAATGTAGGTGTGGGAGAGGAGGCATATGGGGCCTCTCTGTACTTTCTACTTGGTTTTTCTGTAAACTCTAAAAATAGATTTTATGTTTTTAGAGTAATGCTCTAAAAAAAAGCATTACTCTAAAAAAAAAATAAAATCTATCAATCAAAAAGGAGTGGATCAATATCCAATCATCAAGATTGTTATTTTGGAATCCTAAAGGATGTTTTAGATCACCTGTCTAAAGGGTTTCGTGAAATGGAGATAAAATCAAGAGGGTTACGGCACATTCCTAAACAACTGGCTTTGTCACTCCTGCAGGGCAGTCATCACTGATGACAGGTGATACTTTAGTCACATGTGTGGGGCCTGAGCATCTATGGAGGCCTCTATTATGTTCTTTCAGTTTCCCAGAATCTCAAGTCTTTTTTCCCAAAATTATTTTTCATCTCACCAGCTATTCTTTGAGCTCAATTATGTCCACATAATTAATGAAACCGTAAGAGTATAGTTTTGCTGCCTTATAATAAAACCTGTTAGCCCTTCAATGAGAAATTCACAAAACTCAAGTACCAACAACTTATTCTGATACAATCACAACCTCCCACCAGAGTGTCAAATAAAATAGTATTATTTCTGCCACTTTTTACAATATGCAAAACTGGAACACAAATACAGCTTAACCTTTCTGCAAATGTATTTTGGAAGCAGAGCATCAGTGAATCCTTAACCCTTTCCTGCTTTACGTGCTCTTTCCTGTAACACCAAACAGGGAGGGAGGACCTTTCCATCCAGTGCCATTGCTGTGTCAATGCTCCTGCACTGCTGGCAACATGAGTCAAAACCATGCTTGACCCGGAAACCAGAGGTCTGTTTGGGAGCTTTCAGTAGCCTTGGATCTGATGACAAGAAGTAGAAGAGAATAGGAACCCACTCTGACTTTGCTGTCACCACCAGCTTTGTGTGGCCAGACCACTGGTATGTCTAGATTTTGCCCAGGGGAAAATCTGGGCTTGACTCTGGCTCATGTCAATGAATTCATGCGTTCAAATCCCAGGCTCAGTTCCAGAGCAAAGTATGGCCCCTTTAATCAGCCAACTCGTAAGACATGCCATTGCCTTACTTATGGGTTGGGGGATGGGGCTTCAGGCTGGTCAGTCTGGGAAGATGAGCTGAAACAGCTCACAGTGAGTGGATGCCCTGCTGCTGTTGCTGGTCACATGGAAAACACACACACACACACACACACACACACACACAGCCCGAGAACCTTTCATTCAATCAAAAGACTGCAGACACCATAAATCTTCAGACCCTCACCATCCTTCAAATGCCATCATCATATACACTCTCTCCTGTAAAATGGTCAAAAGTAAGAGAAAAGCAACTTCTCTCGGGCATTTGCTGTTGACTTTATTTCAGGGTCTTATTTTTGGAAATAAACCAAAGTTTGAACTTGTAGAGAGTTACTATGCAGGAGTGGAGAGACCCGGATAGCTGGGCAGCTGGTGAAGCTCACGCAGCAGCTAAGAGACTCCCTCCTGGACAGGAGCCCCGCAGAAGTCACCTGTGAACGGCCAAACAGTGAATGTGGGATTTCCAAATGTTAGGCATTATCTGTACTTAAGAACTAAATTACAACTTATTTTCCCAAACAATAACTTTATGAAAATCTGAGCTGCTTTTTCCTTAAATGATTGAGAGTGTTTTTTGTTACCTTACTCAGAACAAAATAGCCTGGTTTTCCCAATATTTCTTAAACATTATACTCCTACCAAAAAAAGCATATAAACAATACATTGAACATGCCCAGCTAAGGTAACATGTGGATCCCTTATGTGTGTACCCCAACTTTTAACACTCACTCTTTTATACATCTTTTCACTGACATAGCTGATAATGATTTCAATCTAGAAATGACGATGCTGCTCAAGGTGAAACTGCATACAATGTTTATATATTTTGTTTTTTCTACATTTTATACATTCTCTTCCCAACAATAACCTGCTTCAAAAAAATATATGATTTGATGTATTTTTAAATTTGTTATGTATTAAGTCAAAACCAGTTTACCGATCTGACTCTTTGATGACGAAGGCTCGCAGGGGTGTCCAATCTTTGGTGTCTCTGGGCCACACTGGAAGAAGAAGAGTTGTCTCCGGCCACACATTAAATACATTGTGACACGTAATCACACACACACAAAATCTTAATGTTTAAGTGAATTTACAATTATTTTGCACTGGGCTACATTCACATCCATCCTGGGCTGCATGTAGCCTGTGGGCCACAGGTTGGACACCCCTGATTCAGGGGCTGTACATGTGATTTGCTTTTGACATCTAAATATTTTTAAAAAAAATCATTAGAATGTAAAAAGAAGAGCAATCGCACATAAGCATCCAAATCTCAGCTGATGGCAACACCAAAACTCTTTGTGTCTTCTGTGATACCTTCCTTTCTCTCATGCCACACCCACGGTTAGCAAATGCAGTTGGCACTTCCTTCAAAATATATCTCCAATCCAACGATTTCTTATTCTTGTCTCTGGTCACATCACTGCACACCAGGTCACTGAAAAGGCCAAAGAGACCATCCTGCTTTTCTCCTTGTCACTGGTCATTCCATTTCCCTCCTGGTTCTCTTAAAAGTGCCTGACAATAACCAGTATTCTTTCCTGGGTTATGGTATCACAGTAAGAAAACGCAAAATATATGACTTGTTAGCTTCCCTTTTAGACTGTGACAATATTCATTTGAGAGACCTAGATTTGCTAAAACCAGTGATCCTGTGCATGCATTTGTAGCCTGTTTTAAGAAAAAAAATCAGTCTGTTAAGCAAGGAGCATTCTTGATATTAACATGACCTAGGTGGCTCCACAGATCTCAGCCAAAAAAGAAGTCTGATTTTTAAGTCACTGCACCTTTAAGAAACTGGCCTTCCAATCTGGATTTGGTTGTCTCTTAACACCGACCCAGCAAGGCTCAGGATATACTCCTCCTGCTAAGGTACATAGGGTCCCTTAGATGTTTGTCCCAACTTCTAACTTCCAATCTGTTATACATCTGTTCACTGACACAGCTGATAAGCTGATAACCATTTTAATCTAGAAAAACATTATTCTGCTAAAGCTCCATCCTCAGTAAATTTGGGTTGGGAAGATAACTTCTTATGGGCCAATCTTTACATTTATTTGTTCTTGAATGTTAATTTTCTGCCAGGGTTGCTTTTATTTTGTTGTTGTTGTTTTGTTTTTTGTTTTTTAAAAGACAGGAGCTAGCATAGAAACTT